TGTTAGCGTGGTTTTACAAAGCTACAAGCACGCTACTCACAGCAGCTAAATGTTGTTTTTTTGTTTAATCCTACTTCCGAATTGATTTAATCAAAAAATTAATTTTATTGGTTTTAATTTAAAATTATGGTTGTCTAATTACACTAAGTTCATAAGAAGGTTCATATTTTCCCACTTATTTAAATAACAGAATGTATATATTTTAATTATACGATTTAGTTGGAAAAAATTTAACTTACATAACATTCCATTGCAAACGTTTGTTTTGATTTTGCGGTCGAAATTAAGATGATATTATACTACATTAGCGGTTTTTAACTTACAGGTTTTTGCAGAATCTATTTTTTTCATTCACGTAAGTTTGATTTTTTTTTTAAACAGGAGCACGAGCATTTCTCCAGAATTGGCGCATGCGTCAATTACTTCAAATCTTACGCATGGGAGAGTACGGACTGTAACGAAAAAGTGCAAAATCTCCGTAATAATTGAAAATGATTAAAATTGAGTAATATTTGTTGTAAACTTAAACTGAGTTAAGACATAATTTNTTAGCGAGCAGGGGGCACAGCCCACTAGTTTGTTGTAAACTTAAACTGAGTTAAGACATAATTTGAGCTGTGTTGAGGTGAATCAAATGCATACAATGTTAAAAATACAGTCACATATTAAAGCACACAATGCTATGGCTCAATGTAAACGAAAACAGTAGTCAGCTCGATAGATGGTACAGGGCTGACAGGGCCGGATTAAGCGCACGTGGGGCCCTAGGCCATTCAAATTTTTGGGGCCCTTAGATTAATTTTTTTTCTCGTATATTTTTTATTTATTCAAATATAAAAGTATTTATATATCTTTTCATTTAAGAAAGTATATTTAAAATAAAAGTAAATGGTAATAAATTAAATTTTACTTTATTTTATTAAATTAGAACAAAAAAATAATCATAACATTTCGAAAAAATGTGAAAAATCCTTGCTTTTATTCAATTTTTTAAAATTTATTTTCAAAAAATCCATTTTAAGGGGGACCGTAATCATTGGTGGCTCCAGGTCATGGGCTAATCTGGCCTAATGGGTAATCCAGCCCTGAGGGCTGAACTTAAATTTTACGGCTACAGAAAAAAAATTGCTCGAAATACAAAATGTCTTATAATATGTTTAAAAACTTTTGATAGAGACTTTTTAAAAAGTGTTAAGGCTTTGATTCTCTTCCATCTCTTTTATTAATACTTATCACTTTCATTTGTTATGTTTGTGAAAAAGTAAAGGTTTATTAGTTTTTATTGTTATTTCTTCCTCATAATAACATTAATTAATATTTATTTGTAGAAAAGTTTTATATAAGTATAATAAAGTTCCTTTTTTTTCAGGCATTTTCAACCGGATCCTGGGTCCATTGAGACTATTTTACAATTTTAAGTATGGCTATGCATGGGAACCTATTAGGATTGCAGAAAATTTGTCACTGTTATTATGTTTCAATCTTTACCTGAATTTACTTGGCAGAGTGGGAATCAAGGGGGGGGGGGTTAGGGGGCTCTTCACCATACCTATTCTTGGAGGGATAATTTTTAAAAAAATACAAACATGTAGTTTCAAAATTGTAAACTAGATTTAGGGAACAGTCTTTGCTATTTAAGGGGGAATTTTTATTATTTTAGAGGAGGAATGATATTTAAAATTCTAATCTAATATAGCTAAACATCTTATATCATCAATGCACAACTCTTCAATAGCAAAAAATAACAAATAAGAGAAGCGTATTTACAACTTATAATTAGTTTGAGGTAAACAAGAATCTTTTTAGATGATGAATTAAATTTCCAAATCTTATTTTTTGGAGGGTTATGGGTTGTTATGTACAATTTCACATGTTTTAATCATGTTTATGTACATATTTGATTTGTGGCTTATGCCATTTGTATCTTATTTGTATGACGATACAGTTTAAATTCGAACTTAATTTATTGAAAGTGTAATAACGTGTTAAAAAAATTGAAACATTTTTATTCATTTTTATCATTTACATTCATTTATTTATTTTTTTGTGTTTATGTATACATATACCATATGCAACGAGTTTGCATGATATAAGATTTTAGCCCTTCGATCTAATTTTTCAGAGTGTTAGTTAAGCAAAAACAGCAAAGTATGCGCGATGTTTTTAATTCTCTGTAAGTATATAGTAGAACTCAGATTTTACATTTTCAATAGCATTAAAAAACGTCCTAAGCGGAGTAACGTAAAATCGGGGTAAAAAAAAAATCTAAGAAAATTTTTTAAAAATTTATACTTGCGGGATGGACTAGTAGGAAAAATATATAATCTTTACATGCTTTTTATTTTTAGATACAATTAGAACAATATCTCTTTCAAGACTTACTATTGTTTGAAAATTTGTTTTATGGTTTGCGTTCGCAAATAATTCAGAGTTGTTATGCCTGAAAACTCTTCATCACCTGTCTGCATATCCTCCGATGTATTTTGCTCATCTTCATCGTTTTTATCACTATCATCTGGAGCAGACATCAAATTAAATACTGAAGAAAATTAAAATAAAGGGGATGTATGTTGTAGTCGATATACGCGTCTTCGACTTCGGACGATCTTCAGACGTGTGATTTTTTTCCGAAAGGTAAATGTTCCTGTTGGCTACCGTGAAGCAATTAACCCCAAGAAGCTTTATTAAACCCATTTGTAGTTCATTTTAATTAATACTGTCCAACGCTGTAGAAATCAAATTCAGAAGTTCCAGAACATTTTTTTTGTTGCTTTAGAAGCATCTTGCAGGTCACTAAAATCAAGAAAAAGAAATGATTATCTAATCAGATGTTTAGTGTAGCGTTCTTATAATGATTGGATAATTTGAAGAAGATAGAAATTTGCTGGAAAAAAAATTCCACTTGCAAATTTTACAATTTAAGCTCCCATTATTTCTTTTACTACCCATCATATTAACCTCTTCATTTTGACTCAAGGGAGAAATGTCATCTCACAGACTAAAGGACAATATGATAGAATAGAAAGAATGTCAGAAAAGCTTCAAACAGCTAATAAAAAAGTCTTAAAAAAGACAGAGAAAAAGAAAATGCTGAAAAAAGTTTATACGAGCTCTGTAGAGAAAATATGATTTTGATCTGTTAGAAAAACATATAAAGAAGGATTTTCTTAAAAAGGGTAGCTTAACATCTGGGATAATTTAACATTATAAGTATAAGCAATTTTCACAGACCAGCAGAAGTTTATGCAGGAAGTGGTATAACGTACGAAACGAGCAACGTAAAACTATGCTTCCACTGTGTTTAAACTTGTGTTGCACGCATACATGAAGGGACCTATTTGTATGGAGCATATTTTCTTTTTTTCTATATGTACATGTATTTTAAAGTGGAACAGTGTTCTGCAATATATGCATCATTAAATAGAGCAAATTCATCGTGCCTTGTCAGAAAGTATAATTCTCTCTATAAAGTAGTTGCTTTTCATTATAAAGCAAATACTTTTCTCCTTAAAATTACTAATTTTCACTATAAAACAGATAATTTTAGATTGTAATTACCCCTCATTCTGATACTTCCCATTTTGAGAATATTTTCACCATGAAAGGGAAAGATTTTTATTCATAGATAGAACCACGTGCGTGTAGGGCTAGCTCGATCGAATCAAATTAACTGGACAATACATTCCAGTTATGCGAGTGTATCGTTCTGATAATGCTTAAGCCTATGCCAGTTTAAATTTATCATCAACGCAGGTGAAATAGAACATATGTTTTATTGTTCTTTCTTGCTAAGAATTAAGGCAATTCAGCCAAATAAAATGCCAATCTAATTGTAATGCGCCAATGTAATTTTTAGTTAAAATTGCAAGTATTCACTTTGTATCTCAAGTTTATACTATTCACTTGTACTAGTTGTACTAGTTTCAATTGTACTTGTTTATACTATACATATGCAACGAGTCCATTATTCTAAAAGATGGTTTTATTCCATGTACCCTACCCCCTAGTCCTTGTTCCATGTCTTTTGTCCCCTAGTAAATGTCCTTACGTGGGTTTTACTAAAAATTATCACATTTAGACTCTTACAGACTCTTTCACACCGAGCAAATAGATAGAGTTTTTCCATTCTGTGCAATGACATGCTTATATTAAGAATAATTCTTTTATCGGTATAAGGTACAAATGTCACAGGGCTAAAGAGAATAGAAGGGCTGGTTCACTCCTTTGAAGTATCTCTTGCCGCGGTCTGAAATAGAACACGTAGAGCACCTCCATNCGATCTCCGAGATCTGTGGACACAGTGACGTCATGAGGAGGGAAATCGTAGCTTCAGCTCTAAGAGCGGAGTGAACTAGCCCTTGTATTCTCTTTAGCCCTGCAAATGTCAAGTAATTATAATATACTGTATAATAAAAGAAACATTTACGATAATACCTACTGGGTATCAGTTATTCTTACTGCAAATTCAATATTTGTTGCCATAAAAAATAGAAAAATCATGAGTGAAAGGACCACTCAGTGATCACCAAACCAAAGCACTAACTCATGATTATATCGTCACACGTTGTGGGCAGTTTAAAAATACAATAAAATGTATTAGAAAACCAATCTTGACCTCAGAGTGGATGAGAAAAAAACTGCCATGGCAATTTATTAGTATTAATCTCGACTATACTCTTCCTGTATAATTTATTGAACAAGTTCAATAGTGCCGTTAGAGACTTTATTTTACAGTACTAATCACTACAAAATTTTCCTGAATTTTTTACAGTGTGCTCATAGTACTCAATAAAAGCTGTAAATTCATATTGTAGTTTCAGCATTTATATTGTTGTTCTTTTACCATTTAATTATTAAAATTAAAAAATGATTAAAATTAAAAAATTCGGCTAGTCGTAAACATCAACCCGATCGGTTTCAAGGCCACTTAATCCATTCCCTTCTCAACTCAACAGAAAAACTTTTCTTCTAAAGGCTCCGTACCATTTTTAAGAGGGGCGGGGACCGAACTTTTCCGATTTTGCCAAAAAAAAGTACCGGTGAATTGTCATGCGACGGTTCATCCCGTTAAGGTTACGCCCACACCACCCCACAACTCATTACGTCACGCCATCGATCCATTTTCCATCTCTTCTCATGTTCTCCTCAGTTCCCGAAAGCAGGAGCATCATTTTGTGAAGCCCGCAAGCCGACTCCGCAGGCAATAGTCAAGTTGTAGCGTGTTCTAAAGTAGTTACAAAAGAGTGGTTTGAGGACAAGAGAGAGAGGAGTTGAGTTATTGCGAAGCTGGATGGAATGTGAATATTTATTGTGATCGTCTGCCGTGACAGTGAGATCGTTTTCCATATAGGTTGCTAAAATATGTATCGCTGGATTATTGTGGTCGTTTTAATTCTTGGAATCAGTAAGAGTAAGTTATATTTAATTTAAATCAAATGAATTCAAGTTCCATGATTTTATCATTTCACTATTATAATAAAAATATATTCTAATTAAGTTTATGTAAATTATGAACTAATGAAAGCTAAATGGATTTTCCGAAAATAAATTGAATAAATTATGAAATTATTAATGATATTCTTAATTTCTTAATAAAACAAACATCAGGAAGATATTCAAGGAAGTGATAATGATTTGGAGGCCAGATACTAATATTGAAAAGTAGATTTTTCTTTTCGTATTTTGATTAGCATTCTTATCACTAAAAAGTAGATAATTCCTATTTCTTGTATTTTTAAAAAATATTGTATTTAATTAAAGAAAACTAGAATAAAAATTTTGCACAAAAATTCGATTTGATAGGTTTGTAGTGCTTGAAATGAATGACACTTGAAATAAATGATACTTGACTTAATTTGACAGAATGCACTGATTTTCCTCATAAATTAGTGTCCGTGATATTTTTTAAAACAATTTAAATTATTTCTAAATTTTAATTATACCTAGTTGTTCCTAACAGAAATTTAAATTTTTAACAAAAATAAAAGTTTTTTTTTGGACTCACATATTTCATTGATATTTACTTTTTAGCTAAAGATATTCCTTGAACGCAACATTTGACTTGCCTTTCATGCCTTAATAGTGTTCTTATCTAGGAAGACATTTATATTATTAGACCTTTAACCTTTTTAGACAATAATTAATCGCATACAATCATAATAATCGATGATAGTTAAAAGGAGATCTCGAATAAATTTCGGTTTCATAATTATATTCTCTTAAATTTGGCAATCTTAGTGATTTGGAGCGTTGACTTAATATTGGTACATTGAACTAATAAATTTTGCGATTGCATAAAAAATTAAAATTTATATCTCTAATCTTTTCATTTATCTAACATTGAAATGTAAATATATCTAATCATATACTCCTAAAGAAACATATTTTTTTGTGCACAGTAAGGTTTTAATCTATTGGCCTGAAGATATCATTTCACTTAATGTTTTCCTTATCGAAAAACCAATCGCGCCTCTTGTTTGAAGTCAGAAGTAGAAGTGCAACGCACTAAAGTTGCACAATAGGTAAATACACGACAGTTTGGGGATTATCTGGACATGCCATCACAATTTTGATTATCTGTTGAAGGGATTGCTCCCCCTCTTTAGCAGCCAGGCAACGTGCCCGCTAAGTCGAGCACTTTAAGGTAGAACAATTTAACGAGGACAGATGCCGCGCAGCCTTGATTCTTTCGCAGGTTAATCAAAGTGGTCACCCACTCCCTCACTGATCACAGCCAATGATGCTTGACTTTAACGATCTACTGGGAACCGTGTGTTATGATCAGTCTATTGTAGATCTTAAAGTCAGAAAATTGTATCTTAAGCAGGCATACTCAAGTCAGAAAATTGTATCTCAAGCAGATATACAAACTTGACAGCGAACAAAATTCTCAAACAACTGCGATTAAACAAAAAAGTAAAAAATAATCCACATTTTTTTCTAAATTGACTTGAATTTTACAATGCTTATGAAATCAAGCACACTAAAACCTTCAAAACATAATTTTTTATGAATGTTTGGATTTATTCAGTTTTGTAATGAGAGTTTGTTCAGTTTTGTAGAGATTTGTTCAATTTTGTAAATAATATCTATATATTTTTTAGAATTCATGGAAAATATAAAATCAAAAAACTTATTACCTAAGTGAAACGCAAATTATTATCTGTGAAGAACAAAAAAAATGTATCTAAACTGTGAACAACCATAACTAAGAAATGAACTAGCAAAACAGGGATTAAAATCATCGTAAGCTAATTTAATTTTCTGATAGGAAACTGGAAACATCATTTAAACTTCATCCTCAAATATATAGATTTACGAATATTCTAATTTATTCTTACTCTTACAAGAAAATTCATTGATCAAAGTTAATTCTCACTTAAGCATTAATTTACAAATTAAACATTAATCAAATCTTACTGAATACCAATTTTAACAAGGAATTTAAAATATATAAAAGTTTGTCCTGACAAAAAATTCCTCATTATTAAAAGCAGAAACAGAATAATGTAGAAATAGATGTTTCCTGTTGTAGAAATAGACGTTTTGATGCCAAAAATAAAAATCACATTAATGCTAAGGCGGAATAGAAACGTTTTCTTTATTTTGTTCCATTTCTTTTCATCCTTCTTTTCTCTATTTCCACTCTACAATTATACCAAAATCGAAAAAAAATTAATTACGTTACTTTCCTAGTTGTAATTTTCACTGTAGGAATTAATTGTCATACTTATTTATAATCAGTCGCAGTAAATCTGATTAATAATAAATTTTCACAAATGTTTCTCAAGAATCAACTCACATCCAATCCATTCTTTTGGGAAATTAATGTGTCTTTTACCACAGCAGGAGACTTAAATTTCAATGTTAGGCATCAGCATAATTAGTTCATATTTTAAAAGGGGTACTGCTTTAATAATCAAGGGTTTCAGTGCTATTGTGTAACAGCTAACAATGGCAGGTACGCTAAGTTTCAAAGGCAGGAAAGAGCAATCAATCACTTAGTTGCCTCTATGCTGTCAACGTTTTCTTCTTGAAGAGAATTAAGATCCTTTGCTTGTAGAAGACTCGAGAAGATAAACTTCCACTTCGGAAATGAGGTTGTGGAATGTGCCAGGAAATTCCAAACACGAATTACTTCATTAATGTGCAAGGAGTGTTTCTCCATTTAAAACGATTTTTAGCTCAGGTATCGTTTTGTAAAATCATCGAACAAAACGATGCAAATTTTTACAGTCAAAGTTAAGGTTAGAAACAGCTGATAAGCATATTTTTACAATAAACGGGAATGTTTTAGAGGAAGAATCTAGAAATTGTAACTTACCAAGTATAAGAAAAACGACATACGGAGTAAAAAATGAATTAAAGATGAACAAAAGGGGATGGAAAAGCTCGATTTGTTGTATTTTGCTTAGTATACCAGATTATTTATCAATATAAAGTTTTAAAATTAGTAACAAAGTTTTTCAACAGATGGTGCTATTTGCTTTTGACTGAGAGAGGTGTGATGCAATGTTTTCTGTTTTCAAAATAACCATTATTTACGGCAAAAAAAATGGAGAGAGGAAATTAACAAACGCTTGCGCAAATATTTCATTCAGAATGACCTAACGTGCAGCTCATAATATTGTTTTATAGTTTTTTGAGCTTCATAACAAATTTTACTGTTTGGTGAGACCGAAATTGGTTTCCTACACAGAATGCAGCAAAGTATACGTTTCTGCCTCGATTCATTTTTCTTAAACTTTTTTCTTCTTTTTTTTCTTATGTTTACTCAATATTTCCTGTGAGTTTGTTGTCTTGGAATGCTATGCTGAACCTTAACCACTACCATTTGTGCTATGGTTCTGACATTTGGACACAGCGACTATAGGGAGAAATTTTGACCCCGATCCTAAAAATTGTTTAAAAAGTTTCGTTTGAAATTTACAAAGTTTAGAAAAAAAATACAAGGTCAGTCATAATATGGTGCTTCAAACTGATTATAAAAATGGTATTAAATTAACCAATGGTTAACCACCTTTCGCGTGGACGAACTAAAAAATTGCTCGTACAAACACTTGAATCGGAATGATTTAATGTGCAACGAAAAACACTGTTTTATTGCTTTTCCAGCTAGCGACACATTTTGTTGATGAAGTGTATATCTATTTTTAAAGCTTGGCGAGAACAGTATTGCTCGTTTCATGAGCAGAAATAAGTAAAGCCTAAGATATTATCTCATTTCAAATTTTTTAAATAAATTTTCAGAACTGTTTGTGTCTTTTTTTTGGCACTCGATAACTACACATTTTTTCAAGAAATCGACTTTTAAATTTCTTTATAGTAGCAAGTTAATTGAGGGCCAATTGTAACTGAGAAAAATGATATGGTGTCAGAAATTAAGCAAACGCCTTATGCAGATAACCGTAGACTTGGACTTTGAACCAAAAACATGAACAGATGTAGATTACCAAGGAGAGGAAAATCTTGAGAACCATTTTTGAACCAGTCAGAGAGAGTGATGTTTGATGAAGGAAATTTAATCATGAAATTTAAAAGCAGTTAAAAGGAAAGGATATTATAAACTGTATAAATTCCAATGGTTATGATACGTAGAAAAACGGTAAAGGTAAAGGTACGTAGAAAAATGGTAAATGGTTACAGTACACCTACGATCAAGAATTGTACCTATGTTGTGTTGTACGTATTTAATATAATTTATTCATAATTCAATGAATTATTTTGTATGGATTAGACTTAGTAGTGAACTGTAAAAAAAGAAAGAGTTGGATATAGAAACGCAAACTAATGAAACGTTTAGGTGAAACAATATACTACGCGTATTGACAATTATAGAATACAATATAGCGAAGTAGTGAAAAAAATCCAAACACGCGAATTTGCAAAAAGTAGAGATTTAGGTATTATTAAATGAATAATCCCAAGAAACTGAGTCGGAAAGATGAACTCGATAATATAAAGATTTCATTTGTTCAAAACAAATGTTTCGAAAGCTAAAACATAGGCGCCCATTCTCAAAACTCACCAGACGTGAATGAGGATAGCTAAAGAGATTTGAAACAGATAACGTAAATTTGGTAACGAAAAATGAAAAGAAAAACTAAAAAAAACCACGGTAGCCGTAAAAGGCGAATCGGAGCAAAATGCATTTCCTCACGCTACGTCAAAATGATTTCTACCCCAACTAAATCAGCTCATATTGATGCTCTGGAGCCCTGGAATCTTGTTTCACTCATATGAATATATATTTCTTTGTTAATAACGTGAGTTCCTCACCACCTCTCTAAAGCGCTTGGACGTACAGTGCATTTTGCACTGATTCACCTCTTTGGGAAGCTGCGGTTTTCCTCATTTTGTTATTTGAAACTTTATTTATTTTTTATTTTCTGTTTTCAGTTTGGTTTTTCA